GTAGACCTTTTATTCCATGGATCAAGAGATATAGTCTAGTAGGGCTCTGTGTTATCTATCACAAAAAAAGCAACCGCAACCCTTGGAACATCCAGTTAGCTTATTGGAAGAACCGGGGTCTAATGAATCTTACGAATGAAAGTCGCAATAGGTAATACAAGCCATGGAGATAGAAAAGCATCTTTACCTACCAGGGTTACTTCTCTACGGCATAAGCACAGCCTTCTGTATTATGACTTGCAGCCGTAGTACGAGTGCTGTAACACCGAAGAGGAAGAATGCGAGGAGGCTATCGATCATGCCAGACCATCAGAACTACCAATCGATTCTATACAATTCTATATAGGCTGCGCCAAAACCCACGAAACCCAAAACCCAACCCAATCTATGGGCCCCCATTAAACCAATTAAAACCCATTAAATCGTAAAAAACGTGACTTTCACATGACTACATAATTTATGCAGTTCTAGGTGGTTCTTTTTGGGTATTTTGTATACATATGAAGTATCTGAATTTATATATTACCAACAATTTATAGATTCAGGTAATGATTCAGATGAAGATTTTATTTCATATATACATTACATTTTTTTCAATGATACGCCCAGTCACTATCATCCTGTCTTGTTCGCTTACGAGCTCTCACTGACGTGCGTAACTCGGTGCTTCTACGATCGGATTCCGGAAGTGGGGGATCAGCCTCAGTATCAGAAATCCCAGTTTGTTCCACCTCTCTACTCTCAAGCTCTTCTTCCTTAGTGTCACTAATAGGGTCGAGGTCGTACACACTAGTATCAGCCTCTTCAGTTACTACTTCAATCTTATTCTGAGAGAGTGGATCCTAAAGAGAGATATACTATGCTTCTTAGATATCAAACCTTAAAGTATAAAGAAATATCATAAGCTCTTAGATAGTGTTAGCGTTCAATCGCCCCCTTCGATAATAGTAGATATCGCGGGCGGAATTAAAAAGGCGTTCAACGCTAGCACTAGTTGCTAGTATTGAGAGGACGTCTCGAGCGACGCTTGTAAGAGTGGGAAAGCGATACTAACTATCCTTCTAGAATAGTAGCGGCGAGACATCTATAGGATCTATAAAGGATTTAGTGTTATATAACCTATAATCAGATATTAGATAGAGCGTCATTTACCACTATCTAGATACTATATAAGCTTATCCCGCGGTAGCGATACGGCTTCGCGGCGCTTTCCTTTTAGTATTATATTCAATCGAGAACCTAACTAAGCGGAGCTCTGTAATAGAGGTAAGACGTAAGAACTAAGAAGACGCGCCTTATATAGAGTAAGGTATTCTTTAAAGCTTCGACGACATTATAGAGACTAGCCCTAGCGGCTCTATCCATTCTTCTTTAACACCAGTAGACGCTCCATAAGTTAGTATAAACATCCCACCGTTATTTATTGCCTATTTCCATACAATTTTCGGCGACTATAACACAAGTCGGTTTCCAAGGTTGCACATTATACATATTTTTTACCGATATTTTAGATTTCGAGGCGAATTCTGCTTATCCTTCTGGCTATAATACCCATAAATAACGGTAGACTTGAAAAGACATCTGGAAAAAGACTGAGAAAAAGAACAAGTATCCCAAAAAAAGCTACCAACCTTAGAAGAACACATGGATAAGTCGTCATGATTACATGCAGTCACTCAAGCTCTACCTCTATATAGGTAGGTAACCCCTCGGCTTCTTGTTCTGTGTTCTATATCTCCAGCTAACGCGGTTTTACCAACGTGACGTCTGTAAAAGATCTTCTTCCTTCCACAGCACGAAGATACAAATACGAGGGAATCCAGCAATATCTTAGGACTGTGGGTCAAGAGATAGATCGATATTATCGTGAGGAACCTGGCGGCTCACCTAACCCTCATTACACCATAGAACGTGTAGATGAACGCTCCTTCCTTGAGTGCTTTGTGAATTCTGAAGAGAAAGTCCTTACACTGTTATGAGAGACTTACGACCATGACTCTCAGTTCATTATTTCAAATGTCAGGTCCTATATCCACGGAGCCGCGACAACACAGTCTGATTCGGTTTTCTTTCGTTGGGCCAGAGGCTTCAAAGACACCAGAAATGCCAAAGATACCTTCATAGTGCCTACAAGCAGAGAGCCTGTCCGCGGAGAGACAACGACCAAGAAAGGAGACATTTCCTGGACGCCCATCGGTCGTGTACGCGCAAATCTTGAGTGGCCAACTAGACAGAAACTCCAACGGACAAGTCAAGATCGCGATCATAATCACCGTCCATGCGCATGGCCGAATTACCGTCGAGCAATGGGCAAGGAACCGAAGGCCTGACGGGAGCATGGACCTTCAGATTCCTACTCAAAAGGTGAGATCGTGCGCAACCCAGCACCAAACTGCCCCAGCATCAATGGACATTTTAAGCTGCAAATTTCGTGACATTTTTCTTCGCTGGGAAAGGGGCACGGAGGCTGGTTTTATTCTCACCGAAAGTGGCTTGGTAGATATTTTGGACGCTGTATGGGCTTTCCAGTTCCCAGAGCGACAGTGACTATATAGGTAGCAGCACGTTTATCCACAGAGAATATGGAGTAAGAGAAGGATGATCTTGAATGGGTTGGCCAGCCGAAGCGTTAGGGTGGTCGATCAGCTTGCTTAGGGAGGCAGCTCTCGCCCTTATCATAATATATGGTACTAAGAATAGTCGCTTGCTTATACGGCCTTGTCGTGTCTCTTTACTAGTCCTTTTAGCGCAGACCTACCTTCCCGGGTCGGCACCATGTTGCAGGAGAAATAGAACGAAGGAGAACTCGTTGTGTACGTAAAGCAACAACGCAGTTCGTCCGGTATGTCGTGGGCATCCTGTGCATCAATGTCGCATCCAGCGCAACTGCATCAGCTCGTCGCAGCGGGATGGGTTCCTCCAACTTTCCATAGGGGCGCAGCCTGTCCGCCACTCAAAGGTGGGTGTGAAGGCTGGGGGCTTGTCTGCCGGCAGCTTGTTCTCAGATCTGGTCGTGGTATCGCCCCGTACTGAAGTAAGAGTCTGCCTATAAACAACTCGCTCTTTCCGCGGCCAAGAATAACAGCGTGTCTCCTTCCACCGCCGTGTTAACTTCATATCTCCCATTCTCGAGCAGAGCCAGCAGAGCCTGGGCGCTATTTAGATTACCACATTGCAAGATCGACAAAAGCGGCACCCAGATCGATAGGGTCCGCAGTAGCAGCCAATTTGCGCACCTGTTCCACATCCTCCTCATCAACTGCCACATGGAGCGGAGGAAGAGGCTCTTCCGGCTCGGGGGATGTAACACTGCCCTCGAACACGCATTGTGCTTCGGAGAGCAAAAAAGAAGTCCATCTGTTTTTTTTTTATGGGAAAAATTTTAGACTAGAAGCGCAAAGTGGCAGAATTGATGGTGTAAATATACATCGCACCCTTAGACTCATCAAGGCTCCCATGGCAAACACACGAAGCACATTACTGAAGATTCACCATTAGTCTCTCACACTATATCACACTGCTCCGTTTACCTAAATAATGTAAGTCCAGTCTGATCTGAGGCTTTTTCTCCCTTGTTTACTCGAGACACTGTTATTCCTTCCTGACGAGGGCTCGGACACAGGTTGCTCAGAGCCTCAATCGTAAGTGAGCAATGTTGGAAGGCCTAGGTACCTATTAACAAGTCGCGTCAATTCTATATGAATAGAAACTATCCCCACGCCTATTCAGGTCACCGTCCTATTTCCGTTCTTGCCTCCAAATATACTCCCGAATATTGACAAATCGTGCCAAAAGCCACCTGGACATAACACTGGAACACATTGATGACTTAGAGAACAAATATAGATAGATAAATATAGACTTTTAAGATCTTAACAAAAATAAGAAATAAGTATACACCATAAAACAAAGTGCAAAA